AAGGAGTAAAACAACCATTTCCTTAATAACAATTTAAGCAATTTATTTCACTGAAACAATAACTTCATAGCATATGTATCCATGTTTACTGATGTGTAACAATAATGGATGTGTAACAATTTTTTAAAAAAAACTTAGACTGAGTTTTAGTACACATGAAAAATCCTTATTTCCTGATGAATAGCCTTTGGACTATAATGTAACTTAAATAGAAAACTATCTTTAGAAAGATGTTTCCTCCAAAAGTATTTTATTTTTAAAATCCGATTTAAATTTTTATTTATTTATTTATTTTTAAAATCATTGATTTTTATCCACCCCGGTAGAAACTACCCTACAGAGGTGAAGTTTACCTTTGTTGCTCCATGCACTGTCTCTGTCCCAGCCCATGTGGCCCTTGGAAGCTTGCCCAGAGAGAATTCGGCCCTCAGACTCAGAGTGTGACCCCACCCTTGTACTATGCGTCTTAAGTGATTTGATCCTGTGCTCTACTGTCCTTGTTCCAGTCATGGAACATGCCGTGAAAATGTAACAGGGATTTCAGTGCATACATTAAATATAGGATGGGGAGAGGAAGGCAGGGATGTGTACATTTTCTTTCCTTAATGTAACTAACAGCAGTCCTCCTTGAAATTAAATTACTCATTTTCATGTTTCCAGGAGCGAACCCACGGTATGTACATATCGAATGGCATTAATTCTACTTAAATCTTCGTTATAGAGCCGCTGGACTTTGACCTTAATGCTCCGCTTAGCCCCCTGGCAGGCAGACAAAACAACTAAACTGAAAGCCTGAAATTTGAGTGTTCGAAATCCTATTTCGGATGATGGGTGTAGTAGCTCCAGAGAGCTAGAGGAAAGGAGGCGTGTAAACAGTTGGCTATAGCGTGGAAGAGACAGAATCTAATGGCAAGTGTGCCTGAAGGAGCGTCTCCTTCTCAGTAGTATTCCCTGTTTGTTTTTTCAGTAGTAAACCTGAAGGAGCATCTCATCCCCATTATTCAGCCTGGACACTGAGGTCCAGCGCTGAGGGCCTTCTGGTGGTTCCCTCACTGCGAGAAGCCAAGTTACAGGGAACCAGGCAGAGGGCCTTCTCGGTAGTGGCACCCACCCTGTGGAACGCCCTCCCACCAGATGTCAAAGAGAAAAATAGCTACCAAACTTTTAGAAGACACCTGAAGGCAGCCCTGTTTAGGGAAGCTTTTAATGTTTAATAGGGCATTGTATTTTAGTGTTTTGTTGGAAGCCGCCCAGAGTGTCTGGGGAAACCCAGCCAGATAAATTATTATTATTAGGTAAAGGTAAAGGGACCCCTGACCATTAGGTCCAGTCGTGACCGACCAACTCTGGGGTTGCGGCGCTCATCTCGCTTTATTGGCCGAGGGAGCTTTCGGGTCATGTGGCCAGCATGACTAAGCCGCTTCTGGCGAACCAGAGCAGCGCACGGAAACACCGTTTACCTTCCCACCGGAGTGGTACCTATTTATCTACTTGCAGTTTGATGTGCTTTCGAACATCTAGACTGGCAGGAGCAGGGACCGAGCAATGGGAGCTCACCCCGTCGTGGGGATTTGAACCACCGACCTTCTGATTGGCAAGTCCTAGGCTCTGTGGTTTAACCCACAGCGCCACCCGCGTCCCTTATTATTATTATTATTATTGTTTTATTGCGCTTTTGATTTAATGCACTTGGCAGATATGGCTGCCTATGAGAGCGCGGATGCAGCTGCTCAGGAGCCCGGTTATGTCAACCCTAGCTTGCAGAACCGGCAACCCCTCTCCCCTTTTCAAACACCCTCCCTTGTGCAGTGTTCCCTCAACATCCACTCTTCTCCCCTCTCCTTGTGAGTCTTAAGGGGCAGCCGCCGCCACTGCCTCTGGTTCTCTGAGCTGCCTTGCCGCCCCAAAGAAAGGTGCCTCATGAAAGTGAAAAATTTCTGGGAAATGATATATAATGAAATGAAAAAGATGTTGAAATATACATTTACTAAGAAACCAGAAGCATTTTTCCTTGGCATTGTAGGGGAGGATATTAACAGACAGGATTGTAAGTTGTTTTTATATGCAATGGCAGCAGCAATAATACTATTGGCACAAAAATGGAAGCAGGAATTGTCGATGAAAGAAGAATGGCAAATGAAATTAATGGACTATGCAGAATTTGATAAATTAACAGAAAGGATTTGAAATCTGCGGGATCAGAGATTCTTAGAGGACTGGAGTAAATATTTGAACTATTTGAAAAGCAATTGTAATAAACAGATTACGCTAGTAGGACTGCAAGAAGTTCTGTAAGGAGCACTTTGTGAAATATTGCCAGGAAGACTTTGAAAAGAATTATCAGTTAATGACAATTAAAAGTAATAGAGAAATTAAGAAATGCAGAACAAAGAAATGCGATTTCCGGCGCCGCGAAAGCAAGCAGAAGGCCATGTGTTTAGTTGCCAGCACCTCTGCTTAGGTCTGCATAAGACCACTGTGCACTCAATTTATTTGCAAGATGAAAGCAGACTCATTTTTATAGTACAGTGGTACCTTGGTTCTCAAACGCCTTGGTTCCCAAACACCGAAAACCCGGAATTAAATGTTCTGGTTTTAGAAAGTTTTTCAGAAGCCAAACGTCCGATGCGACTGTCGGCTATTGTTTCGGAGGCGCCTGCACCAATCAGAAGCTGCGCCTTGGTTTTTGAACATTTCGGAAGTCAAACGGACTTCTGGAACTGATTAAGTTTGGGAACTTTTGTTTTAGCTATTTATTTTGCGTTTTTGTTTTTGAGGCTTTTTCGGTTAATTTGTTTTTGTGACTGTGTGGAACCCAGTTCAGCTACTGATTGATTGTGTGACTGTGGAAATGGATAAAAGCCCCCCATCCAAACAATGACTATCATAAGTGCAAGTAAGAAAAAAAAAATAATTTTAATTTTTATCATCTACAATACTGTCTTATTTATTTTATAGTACAGCACATTGATTATTGCTTTCATTTTATGGATCAATGGTCTCATTAGATAGTTAAATTGCTGTTTTAGGGATTGCTTTTTTAGGGATTGCTTTTAAAAGTCTGGAACGGATTAATCCATTTTGCATTACTTTCCATGGGAAAGCATGTCTTGTTTTTGGAATGCTTTGGTTTTGCAATGGACTTCTGGAACAGATTAAGTTTGAGAACCAAGGTACCACTGTACAATGACAGCCCTTTCTAGTCTGTTGTCAAATTTAGGAGTTTCTACTCGCTTGCACAGATTTGGCCCAGTCATATGTCTTGTCTCAAGCCCAGCCATGCCATACTGGAAGTATATTTGCTCATATTAATTTGTGTCTTCCAGTTCTCATTTGTGGTCATTGATCGTTTTTTATGAGGTGTTTCCTTGTTCTGCACATTTTACTATTAGTGGATGTTTGCCAGTGAAACAAGTGTCTGCATCATCCAGATTTTGCATTTATTTTTCCTACTTTAACACTATAATAGGAGGAAATGTTCAGATATGGTTTCTCAAGGGACAGCTTAAGAACAATGCTGTTGTGCTGGAGGAGCAAGGCATCTTTTTCTACTCGATCCCTGTTTTTCTGATCATGGCTGTTCTTTGCAATTCATAGACCTGGAATTATTGAGTAAAATCGGGTTGTTTTTCAATTTCTTCATCATTTAGTTGTGGGAAAAATAATTTTCATGTATTTAATAAGCAATTCCAGTCTAATACTCATGGGTGCTCTTAAGTATTTCCAAGAATTAAGTAAATTATTTTCGGCATATCAGATCAGCTTCACAAGTAATTGAACAGATATACATTAATATCTCCCCGAATGTCCGCCTCGTCTAGTGTCCATTCCAGTGAACATCCGTGGCAAACCTGGAAGTACTGCAATGGGTTACTTCCGTGTTTTCCGCATGCGCAGAAGTGCTAAATCATGCTTTGTGCATGCATGCGTGGAAGCGCAAACCGCTCCATGCGCGTGCGCAGACATGGTGCTTTGCCCTGAGTCCTTATCGGCTAGCGGCCAGGGCTCCGGAACGGATCCCGGTCACAAAACAAGGTACCACTGTATCTGAAATAAAAATCGGCAGAGGAAGGTTTTGGGAGAAATTAGACTCATTGTAGCCAGAACACTGATGCTGATGTTATCAATTCCTGCTGGAGTTCCCCCATCATTTCTCTTCTTCTTAAAGTGCATTCAGTTTGCAGTAGTTTGCCCTAACTGGACATCAGTTCACAAATACCATATTAATTGAAGGGTATTTGCTATTTAGACTATAACTTGCTCTAATTAACTGATTGCCCAGAAATCCTACCCGGCTCCTACTCATCTGAAATATTCAGTTCTGCATATAGGTCACACCTAAAAATTGGTACTGGGACTTAACAAATTAAAATGCATTTTCTGTGCTGCTTTCCAAGTACTTAGAAACCATTTTTTGTTCTGTATATGTATTAAATTCTGTGTACATTAAACATTTTCCTGTATTTTAATATTGTTTACATGTCACCCCTGGTTTAGACTCTTTTACAAATCCTGCATACATGGCAATATATTTACCAGGTGGGGCACATCACATTTTGTTGCATCACATTTCTTTCTCACTCTGCAATCGAGTATGAACTTGCATATATTAGCATGGATTTCTGGCAATCCTTGATAACTAGCTTAAAATGGTGAGCTGTCTTACGAATGCTCGGTAGGTTTTTTCTTTCATTGCTTGTTGCATTGTTGATTTCCCTTCCTGGAGGTGAATACAATGTTAAGGATTCATTTGAATTCTAGACACGGTAGTTCCATGTCACGGAGCCAGGATCCTTCCCCAAGGGAAAAGGTGAAAGTGCTTCCCATCACTCACCTTCCCTGCCAGTGATTAGGGACTGACATTGACTACTTCCAGTGGGAGTCCCAAGGAGTCATTTTCAGCCAGAAAGAGGGTAATTGTGATACAGTTCCTGGGAGGGGGGACGACGAGAAACTGACAGAATGAAGACCAATTAAACTCTTTATTCCCTTCCCTACAGGAATACAGCGAGTCCCATAATAAACCACTCTCTGATCTTCACGGTGAGTAGTTTTATGGTTACTTCCTGCAATCTTAGGTTCACTTACTTCTGCGCTGAACTCAATGAGACTTACTCCGGAGTTAAAAAAGAGAGACCGCATAGGATTATGCCATCGGCCTGTGATCCTCGATACAGTCACTTGTAATAAATGCCCCTTGAACTCCACAAGACCTGCCACCAGGTAAAAACGTACTTTGGATTGGCAAGACCCAGTGAGCGTACGGTTATTGTATTTACTTTTAAAATTATTGATGGCTCGCCAGATCTTGCGTAATAATATGCAAAGCGGAAGCAAAGTGCTGTTGCCCTTACGGATTCACTGTGTGTTTTCACCTTCCTTTCCCAGCGTTGGCTTTGTTTTGTTTTAAAGAAAGTAATATTGATCTCAAATCCAGTTTAGGCTGCATGGGATTTAAAAATGCGGCTGGCTTTAGAATGCTGTCATTCTTCTCTCAAAGGACTTTCCACTTGACAGCAAATCTCTCGCTGTTGCCTAGAACCACGGAAGGCGTTTTTTTTTTTGCTTCAGACTGTGTAAACAATAGTGTGAGACCCTGCAGTTTCTTACTGTACGAGAAACTGAAGGCATTGCTTATTTGCGTAATTCTGCTTGAGCAGAGCGATTGCAAGAATCTGTTCCTTTTTCTGAAGAACCGAATGAGGCTTTGGAAGCAGGCAGCCATATGCAAATCAAGGATACAAGGTTCAGTGCATTCCAGCACATTTAAGAGTCCCTGTGTGACTTACTTTGCACTCTTGAACTACAGTAAACAAAACAAAAAAAAGCATTAGTTTTAACAAACTTGTAATCCCATACACACTTACCTGGGAGGAGCCTCATTGAACACAGTGGGGCTTACTTATAAGTAAACATGCATAGGTTTTCACGGTCTGCTCAAGCATGAAAAACGTGCCTACTAAATGGATATGGCCAAAAAAACCAAAAGTCTTACAAAACAGCTGGGTTTAGATGGATTTCATTTTCAATTACAAAGATTCTTCAGAAACAGGTTAAGATGTGTTTGTTACTTGGCCTGCATACATCTTTAAAAAGAAGGTGTTTCCTTCCTAGTGTTTTTATCCTTCATTCGTCAGTGATCTTATCTTCCTTTTTATTCAGTAAAGCGTTGAAGAATCTGTGTCAGTGTAAACTAGTCTGTGTTGAGGAGCCACAAACTGTGACTAGAGGGAGGGTTTGAACTGAGCAATTCTGTACAGTGGTACCTCGGGTTAAGAACTTAATTCATTCTGGAGGTCTGTTCTTAACCTGAAACTGTTCTTAACCTGAAGCACCACTTTAGCTAATGGGGCCTCCTGCTGCTGCCGCGCCGCCGGAACACGATTTCTGTTCTTATCCTGAAGCAAAGTTTTTAAACCTGAAGCACTATTTCTGGGTTAGCGGAGTGTGTAACCTGAAGCGTATGTAACCTAAAGCGTATGTAACCCGAGGTACCACTGTACTTGCATTATGCTGGGTCCATAGATAAGTGTAGGGACAAGCGTGGTGTTGTGGTCTAAACCACTGAGCCGCTTGGGCTTGCCGATCAGAAGGGTGGTGGTTCAAATCCCCATGACGGGGTGATCTCCCGTTTTCTCTGTCCCAGCTCCTGCCAACCTAGCAGTTTGCAAGTGCGCCAGTGTAGGTAGATAAATAGGTACCGCTGCGGCGGGAAGGTAAATGGTGTTTCTGTGCGCTCTGGTTTCCGTCACGGTGTTCTGTTGCACCAGAAGCGGTTTAGTCCTGCTGGCCACATGACCTGGAAAGCTGTCTGTGGACAAACGCCGTGCCCTGAAAAGCAAAATGAGCACCGCAACCCCACAGTCGCCTTTGACTGGACTTAACCTTCCAGGGGTCCCTTACCTTACCATAGATAAGCCATTGTTACACTGGCAGAATGGCCAGTGAATCCTATCCCTGGAGTGGAGCAGGGAAACATCCGAGACGAAAATACAAAACTAGAAAAACAATAGATATGCCTTCAACATCCACTACAATTCACACACAATCCACATGCATAGGCAGCTAGTGATTTGTAGCAATTGGGACATGCTCCTAGCAGGCCTACAGTGGTACCTCGGGTTAAGAACTTAATTCGTTCTGGAGGTCCGTTCTTAACCTGAAACTGTGCTTAACCTGAGGTACCACTTTAGCTAATGGGGCCTCCCGCTGCTGCTGCGCCACCACCGCACAATTTCTGTGCTCATCCTGAAGCAAAGTTCTTAACCTGAGGTACTATTTCTGTGTTCGCAGAGTCTGTAACCTGAAGCGTATGTAACCCGAGGTACCATTGTACTTGCATCACAGCACATGTAACATTGGCCAGGGGTCCCTTTACCTTTACCTAAGTGTCACGTGGACAGAAGCCACAGGAGGAGCCCTAGCCCAGTGGAACTCTCCCTGCTTTTTTAAAAGCAGACGTTCTCTGGTTCCAGGCAAACATCCTGGAACAGCAGGGCTTTCACACATGTACTTTGCCTTCAAACATTCGAAGGAGGGGGTGGAAGGGAGGTGTTGGAGTGGAAGGCATGTTCCCACCCATTAGCAGTGGGTTGAAGAAGAGACATGGGGGGGGGGATTTTGAAAGCCTTGAGAAGGTACACCTTCAAAAGCGCCCCCCCCCAATGCTTCTCCTTTCTGCATTGCCAGGGGTTGGGCCGTCAGTTGTGCGGCAGGAGCTCACCTTGTTGGAACATAGAAGCAACCAGCAGCCTCACACACAAAATTGGGATTCCTGGAGGGCCATGTTTGTTCTGCAAGCCAGAGGTTTTCCCATCCCTGCTGTAGGACCTAAGAGCCCTTCAGCTTGCAGAACTTGAGAATAGGACTTCTCCCAAAAATGCAACGGCATTAAAAAAAAATAATTGTCAGATGATGTCTCTAATCCAGGGGTAGGCAAACTAAGGCCCAGGGGTCGGATCTGGCCCAACTGCCTTCTAATGCGTCCTTTTATTTAAAATGCATCTCTGGGTTATTTGTGGGACATAGGAATTTGTTCATTTCCCCCCCAAAAAATCTAGTCTGCCCCCCCACACATGGTCTGAGGGACAGTGGACCGGCCCATGGCTGAAAAAGTTTGCTGACCCCTGCTCTAATCCAAAACGGAAAAAAGATGTGAAAACCATAATGAATAAAATCTTAATCATAAATCACTTTTTTCCATGTATCAGGACATAAATGGGTTGTTGCTGTTTTAATAGAGGAATGTTTATAGGAACACGTGAAAGCTTTTTAGGTTCTATCCCTCTATTAGGCAATTATTGCTGTTAATGACTGCCAATCCGTCCCCAGCCTGTGTAGTAAGCTTTGAGTAGCTAGTCTTCTACCCTGTGGGTCTGTGGGAAGTGCTTCTACTGGTTTATGTGGCAGCTCATGCAGAGCTTGCAGACGCACACTGAGTAACCAGTGTGAGCCTTTCTATTTTTAAGCGTGTTAATTTTAGTACACCTTCGTTTATATGTGGCTTGTTGAAATGTATCTCTAGCAGCGGGGCTAAGCCTGCACAGCGATGATACTAATCGCACAGGTAGAACTACTTAGAAAAATAAAACGTCATCCTTTTAGGATGAGACAAATAGAGTATTCTAACGAAAACCGTTTTCAGAAATAAAATTCTGCATAATTTTGTTTCTTGAAACACTGTGACTTATTATGAGCTAAGTGTGGTGTCCTTAAAAAAAAATAAAGCTCTGTACGTTTCAACAACTGCATGGCAGGCAGAACTTTATTCGGAGATGCCGTGATGAAGAAAGCTTCATTAACTTAAATTCTGTCTTGATCAATGGCATTTGTATGTGTGTTACTTCCCCTACTCTTTCACATTTCCTTAGGAAGCCCTAGCAGCCCTCAACTTGATTTTAAATCAATCCAACCCGACTATAATTCAGTTAAGACATTTGGGCTCTTCTTTGGGTATGTGACATTGGCTGTTAGTGCAAATGACACAAAAAAAGAAGAGCCGCCTTTTGTGACACATGCACTCCCCAGCCCTTGTGGAGAATCTAGATTCATCTGTATGCCAGTTAAAAACTGGACTACTTAGCTCTTTGATGGACTGTATTTGATTAGGCCAAGGTATTCGGGCTCAAGTGTGGCTCACTAATATTTGTGTGATCATTAAGCAGTAGGCAATGCAAGCCCTGTTCACTTCGTACATGTATTGAAAGCTTGCGGGCAGGGGAATGCGTTCTTGCCTGCTGCTCCTGACAACCACTTGTTCAGTAGAAGGTGTGAGAGGGCTCTGGGGACATACAGCTATGTGTGCAGAGGTTCTTCCGCATGGTTTGGAATCTGCATTCTCAGGTGTACTGAGAGCACACACTCCTATACAGTGGATGCTCGGGTTGCGAACGTGATCCATGCGGGAGGCACATTCGCAGCCCGCACCGCTTCATCTGCGTATGCACAGGTTGCGATTCGGTGCTTCTGCGCATGCACAAAGCGTGATTTATCGCTTCTGCGCATGCACGACCGCCAAAACACGGAAGTAACCCATTCCGGTACTTCCTGGTTTTGGTGCATCCGTAACCCTAAAAAACGCAACCTGAAGCGTCTGTAACCCAAGGTATCACTGTAATTCATTTTATGCCTTCTGCTGAAAATGTGGAAAGGTTGGGGTCCAGTGGTTGTGATCGTACTTCTCCCTCTACGTATTAACTTGTTTAATGATGATGATGCTGATGATAAGAAGAAGAAGGACCCCTGGATGGTTAAGTCCAGTCAAAGGTGACTATGGGGTTGCGTCACTCATCTTGCTTTTCAGGCCGAGGGAGCCAGTGTTTGGCCACAGACAGCTTTCTGGGTCATGTGGCCAGCAGGACTGTACTGCTTCTGGTGCAACGGGACGGGACACTGTGATGGAAACCAGAGTGCACAGAAATGCTGTTTACCTTTCCGCCGCGGAGGTATCTATTTATCTACTTGCCCTGGTGTGCTTTTGAACTGCTAGGTTGGCAGGAGCTGGGACAGAGCAATGGGAGCTCACCCCGTCACGGAGATTCGAA